GGAGTTTCTTGGTGGCGAGTTCTTTGCCGCTTACCTTGGCCAAGGCACTGTCAACAACAAAGACTTCAAAGACGCCTACTCTAAGTTCACTCCAGGCCAAAAAGTGGCAGACGACAGGCTCAAGTGGTATTGGCGCGGCAGCGGCAAGAGGATGAAACCTGACAACAAAACCGTGGAGAACGCAGACGATGTGACATCAGACAGCAGAAAACACATGGACAAAGTTCTGGGCAAGAGCCGCTACTTTGCCGAAGCGCAGAAGTCTCTTGCCGTCCTCGCCTTTGTTGAGCACCTGCCACAGTTCCACCGATACATGGACCTCAAGCCCAAGGAAAAGGAAGCGTGGGCAAAGAAGCTGTTCGATCACGTCACGAAGCCCGCGTACCTGAACAGTCTCACGACCATCACAGTGCTGGACCACGGCAAGCTGAACAAAATCAGCATGCTGCTCCTGTCCCTTGCACCTGACAAAGACTACGCCAAGACCCTGGCCGTGAACGTGCTGAGCCGGGTGCTGACGACCTTGTCCGACAACTTGGATGACATTGACATTGATCTTCTGCAGCGGCTGAATCAGAACGTGCTTGAGCAGATTGCCGACTTCTTGGTCAACGGCAAAGTCGGCAGTGAGCCTGGAAGCATCCCACAAGAGCTCCTGGAAAAATTCAAGGAGGATCTTGAGCGCGTGGGGTCTGGTCAAGTGTCTGAACAGATTAAGTGGCTCACCGCTGAAAGTGCCAGTGCTTCGAAACTCTTCAGCAAAGTGAAGGGCCCGCTTTGGACGCGCATTGAGGCGGTTGAGTCTGAGTTTGGCAGTGTTGTTGGGAAGCTCACGTATTGGGTGGCCAAAACGGCTTGCATCGGCCTTGCAGTTTATTCCGTGGCATCGCTCGCTTCTCAGTGGAAGCAGATGAACGCCGATGACAGGGCGATTGCAATCTTGCACACGGGTGTGTCTTCTTTCCGCTTGATGATGCTGTTCGATGATCAGATCACACAGGCCCTGTCAAAGGGCGCCAACTTTTTCTCTCGCAAGCTGGCTCAGCAAAGCGTGGATGCATCGTTTGCGTCGGGAGCAGCATTGGAGGAGAAAGCTGGACAGCTGGACAAAGCAGCACGGTACCTCAACCCTGAGCTTGCTGTGGACGTTCCGGAGACGTCCAACGCGGGCATGGAGATGGTGAGCAGATCACTGGCCGAGGAAGCCGTGGGTATCGAGGCTGAGGCCGAGAAGACGTCGGCGCTCACGGCACGGTGGTCCGAGATGACAACGCTGAAGAAGTTCGTGCGTGTGGGTGGATTGGTTCTTGGTGCTGCGACTGTCGTCTATTTGGCCGTCGACCTCGCAGGCTCATGGGGGAACATGTCGAAGAGTGAACGCGCCCTGAATCTGCTGAACGTTTCTGCGTTCGGCCTTTGGTTGGTGGTTGATGGCGTTGCCTTCGCTGCGGAGCTCGGCGTGTCGGCTGTGGAAGCGTTGGCCTCCTCAATTGTGCCCGTAGCTGCGCCTGTGCTGCTGGCCGTGGGCTTAGTTGCCACTGTCATTTTGGCGTTCAAGCACAAGAAGCACGCCCGCGTGGACACGCCTCCAGAAGTGTTTATCAAGAGCAAGGTTGTGCCCCTGTTGAACAGCATTTCCACGCCTTCGCGCAAATGGCTGGAGGGCACCGCCAGAGCCAACAGTCGCATGGCCTAACTCAAGAACTCAAGAACACAACAAGAGCACGTGGTAGCACTGCGTTCGAGCTGCTGTCCTTGTCGTTGTTTGGTGGTGGTCGTGGGAAGCGACACTCAGCACTGGACACAGCTGGCGCTCATGCGTGTGAGTGTTTGTCGCGCCCCGCTTTGCAGGTTTTGCTCCTCCACTTTTCCTGCAAGCTTTTGCTTGCGTCCCCTCGTCTCGTTGTTGTTGTTGTTGTTGTTGTTGTTGTTGTTGTTGTTGTTGTTGTTTGTTGTTGTTGTTGAGGAGGGTGAGACATGTCGTGGTACTGTTCTGGCTTGTTCCTCATCTCTCATTTTCCCTTTTCGGGTGTTTTCGTTTGAGCCCCATTTGGTTCTGTTGCGCGCAGATGCATAAAAGCATCCCAACGTGGTACACAACGCTCGAGCATTTTTCGTTTTTGGGCCTCTATGCCACCTATCTGCTTCCTCGCGCAAGGCTGGGCAAGGGAAACATCGCCCTATCGCCTCTGCGCGGTGAAGAGGGGGGAGCGACAGTGCACTGTGTTGCCGTCTATCGCGGCCAGCAACGTTCCACACGCAGGCGACGGCTCCTCTTGCCTGGCGCATAGACAGCGTCAATCGTCCAGTTTCAGCTCGGGGATGGTCACGTTGCAGTTGCTCTCCTCTCGCAGCGTCAGCACCAAGGTGCGTGTTGGAAACTGCGAGTCACATGTTGCTCTGCGCCAGCGTTTGCGTGCAGCAAAGATCGTCACGCATGCACGCATCGAACACGATGTGTATGAGCGCGAGAGAGCTGCTGAGTTGAGTTGGCTGTGGACGGTGTTGTCATTACGAAAGCACTCGCGCTGCAAAACAGGAATGGGATGGTCGCAGGAAGGCGCACGCACAGTGAACGTGAGATGGCTGCACTGCACAGTTCAGTAGTGTGTACGCATGTCTGAGAGAAAGCATGGTGACAAGAGAAAGGGTAACAAAACATGCTGCGCACTGTTCTCACGTGGTTGCATCCACTGCCAAGCCAGTGCAGCGCGAAGAAAGGTTGCCGTCCATGATGATAACGATGAAGGAAAGGGAAGTGAGGTGTGGCCGTGCACGGAGTGCAGGAAAGAGGTGTCGTGACACTGCGCAGTTGTCTTCACGGTTGCTGCTGTTCTGCTGTCAGCATGCATCCTTGAGTGTGCCACTGCCAGTGGCTGTCATCATTCGGAAGTAAACGATGAGGTGGCAGAAAGAAGCAGCACACATTTGGAATCACACCGTCGTTGGCTCTTCGCGGGTGATGACGGCCATGATGATGGGAGCAGCAGCAGCAGGAACTGATGCGGTGTGCAGTGTGGGAGCGCTGTCTGTTGTCGTCGTTGATTCACAACCAGCCCAAGCCAACGTGCGCGACAGCACAAAGCACAACAAACAAAACCCACACCTTGTTTTCTCTGTATTCTGCACCCTTGCCAAATCTACTTGAAAAAGTGCCAAGGTTTCCTTCTCTTGCAAAGCAAATCATCGCAGGGCAATTAAATTATTCCAAGCGAGGAAGGAAAGTGTTTGCGCAGAAGGAAACAAAGCCAGCAAAACTGGGAATCCTTTCCTTCCCTGGTGTATTGTTTTGTTTTTCTCGTGTTTTGTTTTTCTTTTCTTCCACTTTCTCGCTTCCCTTCCCTTGGTGTTGACATGCCGCGACCTCCTCCTTCTCCTCTCCCAGCTACTGCTGCTGCTGCTGTTTGCCCTCATCATCGCTGGGCGCTGTTCTCGCTGTTGCCACCACTGTTGTTCTTGTTGTTGTTGGCAGGCTGGTCGGTGACTCCTGTCCATGGCAGCACGGCTGCTTGAAGGATGCCGTCTTGCCGTGAGTGAGCGAGTGTGTGTGTGTGTGTGTGTGTGTGTGTGTGTCTCGCTTCTTGCTTCTTGTTATCCTTGTGTTTTGCTTCTTTGCCACAACGTGCCTTCTACTCTGTTCATGGTTGCACTTGCAGCTGCCACTGACTCACACCTCCACATTCTCGCATTCCCACCTCTTCACCTCTCCACGTCCGTTTCACAACACCAAGGACCGCACGCTGTCCCCCTCCGTGGACACAACTTTGAAGCACCTGGAAACAACACTCAACGAGCATCGCGTGCCGTTCGCCACTGGACAGTTGCGTCCACGACACACTTCTTCCACCATGATTGACCTATCATCGATCCAACGCATGACGAACGCCTTTGGGTGCAACAGCAACGGTGTCGAGGAGAGAAATAGGGGAAACCAGCACCCATCAAAGGGAGCCCATCTCAACCAGACACGGCATGCACTGCCCTCCTCAAGAGCGCACAACCGCACCCCTCATGCACACGCGTGCGACGCGCTGATAGCGACGAACAGCGTGCTGGCTGGTGCACCCTGCAAAGCATCACTGATGGCTCGTGCCCTGGAGCCTTGGAGCTGACATCAATGCTGTACTGTTCCTCACGGTTTCTGGCCACGAAGCAGTGAACAGCACAACTGACACGAGTACTTTGCAAGCGGCGTCAATGACAGTGATGCACTTGTCTTTGCAAGGGCACGTTGAATCAGAGGTGCTTCAGTCGATTGTGGGCAATGGCATGTGGACCTCGTGCACGACGGTGCGCATCACTGGTGTGCAGTTCCCAGTATTTCATTTGAGCGTGCTCAACGATTTTCCCATCCTGGATGCCATCACAATCGAGCACAGCACACTACTGCAGGCAGACACAGGGGGGTTCGAGCATGCGGCACAGCTGTTTGCACTTCGTTTGGGAAATAACTCCCTTGCATCGGTTCCAAAACTTGCACGGATGACATCCCTGGTCGAGCTTGATTTGGACCGCAACAAAATTCCGCGCATCCAAGCAGACGCGTTTGAGGACCTCACAGCCCTGCGTGAGCTCTTTCTCGACTCCAACATCATCCGCGCCATTCCCACTGGCGCGTTTCATTCACTGAAACACTTGACATGGCTGGAGCTGGGCGCAAACCCAATCCAACATCTTCATGCACACGTGTTTGCTGGCCTAACGCAGCTGCACACATTGAAAGTGGGTGGCACCCTCCTGACCTCCCTGCCACCCACCATCTTTCAGACAAACCGCCGATTGAATGACGTCGTTCTCGAAGGGAACCTCCTCACGTCCCTCCCAGGCTCTATCTTTGCTGGGCTTACTTCTCTACGCCACCTGTCCTTACGAAACAACCGCTTGACGTCATTGCAGCCAGCATTGTTCCGAGATTTAGTCTCCCTGTCCACCCTTCGACTAAACGACAACAAATTGACGGCATTGCCTGACCGGCTCCTTGATTCATGCTACCGCTTAAAATGGCTGTACTGTGATAACAACCGTCTCAGTGGGCTATCGCCTGACCTATTCGCGCACACGCCCAACTTGCGGGTGGTCACTTTCGAAAACAATCGCCTTCGTCACGTTGACGGGCTGTTTGACACAGAGTTTCCACGCCTGGAGCGCATTGACATGGCGGCGAACAAGCTGACCCGGTTTCATATTCCCACCCATTGGCCTTCCCTGCACACCCTCGTCCTGGGCGACAATCCCATGCAATACATGCCAGACATGACGAAAGCGCCTGCTCTTCGTGTGCTGCGCATGCAGAACCACGGTGTCAAAAGGATCGATCTCACACCGCTTCTGACTCTTCCAAGTCTGACAACTGTCGAGCTGGACGCAGCGCATGATGACGACAGAACCAGCAGAGCAGTGTTGGACGCCACCAACTTGACACCTTCTCCACACCTGCGCACCCTCAGCTTGCAACACGTGGACGTGAGTGAGGTGCTTGGCCACCTGCTGCAACTGCCACTTCAGCTTCAAGTGCTCGGGCTGGGATGGCCAGGCGCCGACAACCGCACTTTGCCATTGGAAATGGTATGCAATGTACTGACAGACAAGGTGGACGTGTTTCGCCTCGTCAACACACGGCACACGAGGTTACATCTTTGTGCGAACAAAACCTTCCAAACTGTTCAGATCCAACGCAACGAGCACCTCAAGCTGGTCATCGTCCCCAGTGCGCTGAGAGAGCTGAACGCGTCCGATTGCACGCAGTTAACTCAGATTGACGCGCCGTTCATCGATGTGTTGGACATCAGCAACACACGCATTCAGCCCAGCACTGCCTTGTGCACGCGGTGGGGCCGCCGTGTTTTCTTTGCGCGGAACCTGAGGGCCGAGAGCAACTTCAACTCGGCGTCTGCTCCGGCTACCATTTCCACATGCCTGTTTCTCCTTGATGTGGTTGATCTCTCGGGGAACAAGTGGCTGAATGACCCCGTCGAAGTCAATCGAATCGTGGGACACGAGATCGCCCTATCCAAATCAAATCTCCGCCGCAACGGACGAGTTTTTCCTCGCAGGCCTCGAGCGCCAGTGCTGCAACTGCAAGACGCTCCCATCGATTGCGCGCTTCAACTCTCGAGCGGAGACTTTGATCTTTTCGATAACACGATCCCTGGGCTAGTTGGTTCAGTCACTGAGATTGTGTACTCCTTTCATTGCCAGTGCTCACAAGGGCATGAGATGCGACGCGGGCGGTGCGAACCAATTGAGCTCGACATTGTGCCGGCTGTGCTGGGGACGCTCGCTGGCGTGCTTGCACTGCAAGCGTTGCTGTTCATCGGGTACCGCACGTACAAGAGGCAAAGGCGTTTACAAGCAGATAACGCGCTCAAGGACCAATTGCTGGTGGAGATGGACGAGGAGGTGATGGCGCTGAAGAAAGCGTGGGAGATTGGGTATGATGAGCTGAAAATGATCAAGCGTGTCGCTGCGGGTGCGTTTGGCGTGGTGTTCAAGGCAGAGTGGGACACAGTCCTGGTGGCCGTCAAAGTGCTGCAACAAGGGGTGATGGCGTTTGATGAGAGCACGGTGCTTGAGTTTGAGAGGAGGTGGAGTTCCTGCAGCGGACACGACACCCGAATGTGGTGCGGTTCTTTGGCGCGGGCACAGATCCCAACGGCAGCCCGTTTCTGGTGCTGGAGTTTGTGGCGATGGGGTCGCTCAAGAACCTGTTGGGCAAAGACATGGAGCAGGTGTTGATGGAGGTGGAGCAAGGGGAGCGAGGTGGTGAAGAAAGTGTGGGGCAGGGTGTGACAGCATCAGAGATCGTGGGCGAGGAATTGACGTTGGTGAGCACAGGAATCGACAGAAGGGCCAAGACAACGACTGTGTGGGAGTTGAAACTGCGACTGCTGCGCGATGTTGCGAGTGGCATGGCCTTTATCCACAGCCTCGACCAAATGCACCGGTTGGATGTTTGTGTGTGTGTGTGTGTGCGTGTGTGTGTGTGTGTGTGTGTGTGTGTGTGTGTGTGTGTGTGTGTGTGTGTGTGTGTGTGTGTGTGTCTGTGTCTGTGTGTGTGTGTGTGTGTGTCTGTGTCTGTGTCTGTGTCTGTATGTGTGTGTGTGTGTGTGCGTTTGCATCCAGCCACGTGTTTCTTGCTCACTCGCTCACTCAATCATACGACCCTCATCGCATCCACAGGGACCTGAAGAGCGGTAACGTGCTGGTATCATCGTCGCTTCGCGCCAAGATTACGGATTTTGGGTCCATTCGCCAGTGCTTTACGCGTGGCGGTAGCGGCAGAGCCCACGGCAGCAGCCATACTCGCCTGTCGTCCAGTCAAGCTGACGATGATCCGCAATACAGCCAGCAGGCTGGAATGCAGACGATGACCAGCATGACGCTGACGGCGGGCGTGGGCACGCCGCTGTACATGGCACCAGAGGCGCTGACGGGGAGCAAGTACAGCTTTGAGGCCGACATCTTCAGCTTTGGCGTGCTGATGTGGGAGGTGGCGACGCAGCGTGTGCCGGATTTGATTGAGCAGGAGAAGGGGAGCGGGTACCGTGGTCCGATCCTCGCCACCATCAGCAACTTGATGGCAGATGGTAAGCGGCTCAAGTTTGAAGACAGCGAACAAGATGGTGAGTTGTGTGTGTGTGTGTGTGTGTGTGTGTGTGTGTGTGTGTGTGTGTGTGTGTGTGTGTGTGTGTGTGTGTGTGTGTGTGTGTGTTTGTGTGTGTTTGGATTGCTTACTTGCACGTCGTTCTTCCTCACAACGCACACATACACATACACACCTTAGCCATCCCCGAGTGGTTCCAGTCGCTGACGTACAAGTGCATGGCGCAGAACCCGCGTGAACGGCCGTCGTTTGGGGAGCTCAAGGACCACCACCTTGCTTGATTGTGTGTGTGTGTGTGTGCGTGTGTGTGTATGCATGCGCACTTGCTTGCTCTTTCTGCGTACGCATGAGTGAACGTGTCTTCAGCACGCATGTATTGCGGGGTTTGGAACGACGCAAAGTGCAAGCAATAAACCAACACCAACGACAAGAAAAGCCAACACAACACCATCAACTTCAAGGCATGTCACATTTCATTCTATGATGGTCGGCAACGTCGTTCTGCACGCGCTGTGCTGCATCTCCTTCTTCAGCGCGTGCAGCACACCCTGCCACTGCACGTTGCAGCCACCACTTGAAAAAAGCGTCGCACATACATCCATCCTCCGCCTCCTCATGCGTCAGCCACGCAGCAGCTGCAACTCAATGTCTGCACAGTCCGACGTGAGCGCAATCAGCAGGTTCAGCACCATTGACATGCAGGACGCGCAGCAGCCAACAGCACCACTGTAGTCGCCGTCAAAGGTATCCACAGCAGCACGTTGTTGAACACGAGCAGCAAGGCCGTTGGCCGACAGTGTGTTGTCGTTGAGCAGCAGCAACAGCCGGAACGACGTCCACCCGGCCACGATGTTGATGCCGAGAACGAGCAGAGCAGGAAGTGGCGCATGTCGAAGCAGATGGGCCAGGATCATGCGTTGGCTGGAATGCTTGCAGGCAGCACCGCAGTGAAAGGAACGTGTGTGCGTGCTGGGAAGAGTGCGTGCTGGGAAAGAGTGCGTGCCACGCACTACAAATACCAATGCCGCATCCGTCACTTCCAAACAGCTGTGACTGCCGCACCTCCTGCACCATGTCCACAACCAGCCAGCACACCCAGCACCAGCATGATCACCACCGACTTGTCTTCACCAACTCCCAGCAGCAGCTGGGCCACGTCCTTGCCACTGACGAAGGTGAAGGGCTGTGATGAGGACGACGGTGAGCATGTACCACCTCGCCGCCTCCCACATAAAACTGGCGCTCTCGCAAACAATGAAGCTGCCAAACAGTTCTACATCGCCCGCAGGCTGAAAACCGTCATCATTCACAAAACCAGCTGCACGCGCCAAGTGGCACCACGCGCGCCCCAGGGTCCTCAAGCTTGGCCAGCTCACCAGACAACTTCAGCCGGTTGTGCCAAAACGTACTGCTGCGCATCTCGCTGATGAATGTCCTGTCTGCCCTGGTGAGACAATCATGCCCGCTGCTGGTGGTTGTACTGCTTGTCGGCAGTGGACGTCGCAAGCTCAAGCTCGCTTGGAAACGTGCACACAAGCAGAATGATGTCTGCGACGAGGGTGTGCGTCAGGGACGCGCGCTGTGACCAGGGCTTCGCTGCCAGGGCTTGTTGCCCTCCTTGGTTGAAGGCCCTGATGGCTTCACACACCTTGTCCACGACGCAGTGCACCATGCTGTAGTCGAGCCAGGACACGCTGGTGGAGGTGCTGAAGATGGCACGGAGTGCGGGCGCGTGGCTGGCCTTGTTGGCCGCAAACGACAACAGAGACAGCGGCGTGTCTGTCTTGGCATCTTCGACGGCAGTGCTCACGGTGACATGGAACATGCGCACGGCTCGCTCCAGCTCAGCAAAGCTGTCAAAGTCAATTGGACACGTGCGATGGGGAGCTCAGGCGAGGCCTCGGCATGGTGGGTGACAAGGGCAACGGCTCCAGGCATCGTGTCTTGGGTCAAACTAGATGGCCAACAGGGCGGATTACGACGGCCGTTGTGTTGACCTTGTTGAAGCTTGTGAGCACACAATACGCAGCTGGCACCGCGAAGCTCGGCCATACAGGAGAACGTGCTTGGCGTCGCGTGTCCAAGTGGCTGACTCGAAGCTTGCACTGGCCGGCGTTGTGCTGTGTGATGGGCTGCCAGCCTCGCATGCTCCACAACACAACGGCAACAAATGTCATGCTCCACTGCTCCAGGATGTACGTGGTCAAAACACGCTCACCATCGCGGGGCTGGTGCACGCTGCCGTTGCCTCTGATCGATCGTGCTGACCACCAAACGGAGGGCGGCAGCGCGGCCGCACGACAAGGGCTTGTCCAAGTCCCAAACACTGTGCGCCATCGTACCCGGCAGCGAGCACGAGCTTCCTGCTGCAAGAGGGCTGTGGATCAGGGACACGCGCAGCGACGAGGAGGAGGAGGAGGTCAGGCTGTACGCCGCCAAAACTGCCGGCCTTCCGACACAAGCAGGTGCTGCTCTCCGCTCGCAGGCACGCTGATGGTGCCGATCAAGCCATCGCCCTCATCAAAATGATGCCACAGGACCACAACAGAAGGTGCCGAAGTGGCGGCTGTTGCCATGGATTGGATCTCCGAAACGTGGACGCTGGTGATTTCGCGGATCGCGTGCACGTCCGTCGTTGGCGTTGCTGAAGAGGTGGCCACTTGCCACGACCAGTGGATGGCTGCAGCCGCAAAGCCGCGAAGCCACAAACGTCAGCGGAGTCGCTCCAGGAGGCAACGGCAGCGCACGCATCGCAGTGTCCGCCACCTGCATACGCCAGCGGCGTTGTAGACCACACGGCCCAGATGAACGTTGTAGTGGATGCGGAGCACGGTCGCATGCAACAGGTGCATGGCCAGCAAACACATTCAGCAAGCAGGTTGTCCTTAATCATCAGAACGACGTCCGCGGACTCAATGTTGATGCCGTCGCCAACCATCACCACCACCTCGCCCTTTCGCCTCCATCTCCTGCACGCTGCTGCGAGCACGGTGTCGATGCCAACCTCTGTCTCCAATGGATCGCGCAGTGCCCTCCTTGTCGCCCGTGAGCATGGCCATGGTCAGGCATGCTGGCGCAGCAGGCGCACCGCCTTCTTCGCCTCGAGGGCTTGCACGTGTCAGCGAGACCAAACGTAGCCCAGGCAGAAGCTTGCCGTCTGCCGAGCACACAACGACCATGTAGCCACGCGTCTCCTCATCTTCGTGCATCGTCTGCCGCTATTTGCCGCTGATGGCGTGGGATTGCCAATACCACAATGTGCATGCCCATAGCACAATGGGCATGCCAATGGCAATGGGTTTGCTGTCCACGGTTGCTGAGATGCTCCGACCAGAGACCGTCTTGAGGTCCGTCGCAGGATACAGCGCCGCCGTGCGCCACAATCGCCTGGCCCAGGGGCATGTTCGCTGTTTGCCTCTTCAGCCGCCACCAGCTTCGACGGGGTGCCGTCCTCCGTCCACGTGTCATCACCAACGAGCACGCACACACATGACTTGTGGAGATCCAACCGTCAGCGTGCCCGTCTTGTTAAGCACGGCCTGTGAGGAGGCAGAGTTGAGAGTGTGTGAGAGAGCGTGTGTGTGAGTGAGTGAGTGTGGGCAGGGAGGTGTGTTCTCTTACCACGACTCGCGAGCAACAGTACGGAGCACCACACACAGACACAGACACACACAGACACACACAGACACACACACACACACACACAGACACAATTTGATTGCCACCTTCGTCGGATGTGAGCTCCAATGTGTCAGCGGCACCCGACGTCAGCAGCGCAACCCACACACCAGCAGCAATACGATGCCTGACACAAAGCGCCCCGCCAGCTTGTCTGGGAAAGAAAAAGGAGAGATGAAGGAAAAGGAGAGGGTGTGCGTGTATGTGTGAGTGGGAATGTCTGCAGAAACATTGACAGGCACGTGTGAACCGGTGGTGTAGCGTGTCGTATCCAGTACACACACACACCTTGCTGGATGGGCGCCTTTGACAGTTGAGCATCCTCACTGCCAACGTGCGTGGCCTCGAAGACCATGCACCATGGTGCCGCCCAAATGACAATGTCATCAACGCCTTTGGAGACGAGACGGGATTTGATTTGCCCCGTGATCATGGCCTCGTCCATTTCACCTGCACCCTCCAGCACGCGTGCATCCAATTCACAGGCACTTTGTCACCAGCCACCATCTGCAACCAAGAACGTGAGGAAAGGTGAGCGAGATGCAATGACAGTGCATTATCTGGCTGCTGCCACAATCTCAGCTGAGGGTTGCAACAACTGCCACATTGCTGCTGCAGCAGCTACAACCAACCACCCGCCATCACCCACCACCACCATGTTACGCACCACCACCAGCTCCAACACCCACCCCGTGATCACGCACCTTCAGGTCGTCGCCGCGCTGCACGAGCTCGGTGTCAATCGCTCCTCCACGCGGTTGCCTTGACTATCGTCCTTCGGCAGGCTGGAGGTGCTGCCTTTGGCGAGGTGTTCGATGTACCGCCCGGGCGACACAAAGGTGAAGAGGAGAATGCCGGTCTCAAAGAAGAGGTCGCCACCACCGCAAGTCAGAGTACTCGTGGGAGGCGGCGGCAACAATGAACACCACCAGGGAGTACAGGTAAGCAGCCCTGTGGTGGGTTTCAAACAACGCAAGCGCAAGTGCGCGTGGATCAGCGACACGTGTGCACGCGACACGCTAGCAAAGAAGGCACGTGTAACGCTGTCTTGTTCACTGCAGTGGTGGACGTGAAGAGAACGTGCGGAAGTGTTCGCAACAAACCACACACATACAAGCACACTCACACACGCACACATACACACACAGACACACACACACACACACACACACACACACACACACACACACACCACATTCATGTTGACAGCGCCGTGCATGGTGGACTGCACCGCGGAGAGGATCAAACGGCCGCCCGGGAAAATGAAGGAGATCAGACCCACCAGCATGAGGATGAGATTATGCGTTGCGACATGTCATCGACGATGCGTGCATCCCAGGAGTCTGGCCACGCGGCAGCAATGATGGTGGACGCGACGAAGAAACACGGTGGTGCACACGATGAAGATGATGGGGCGGAAGCGGATCTCGCTCCTGTGGGTGGTGGTGTTTCGTGTTCCAGCTCCGCCGCGTGCCCCAGCATCCTTCAGCGCGCTGCAGGAACAAATGGGTGTTGTGTGAGGTGCATAACACAGGGCATTGTTGTGAGCAAGTGGTGGTGCGCGGCAAGAAGGCGTGGTAGCAAGGACAGACACAGAGTCAGTTGGAGGGATGTGGTTGGAGGAGAAAGTGGAGAAGCAATGAGACGAAGCGACACGTACAAGTGCAAACACACACATACACACACACACACACACACGCACGCACATGTGATCATGTCGCGTGGTCCCGTTGCATAGGTCTCGTGTTTGACTTCCATACGGCCCGACGCATCATCAATCTGCACCGTTTGAACACCGGGCAGGCAGGGCCCTCAGCATCGCCTGTCATGCATGTCCAATAACAACAGCAGCAGCAGCAGGAGGAGGGTGAGAGGTTGAAGTGGAAAGCAGGCATGCGTGCATACAAGCAGCCATGCGTGCATGCAAGCAAAACAGACAAGCAGAGATGCAGTGCTGCACTACATACCACACCTCATGCTGACGTACGTGGTGTCTTGTTGATGTGTGCGTTTCCTCGCGGGCCTTCGTGTTCGCCGACCTCGCCAATGCTGGCGATGATGGCTGCAGGGCTTCACCGGCGCGGTGCCAGTGAGCAGGCCCACACGACACAATGCTGTGCACACCGAGGCATGCGCTCTCAATGTTGGGCACGCACGAGACGCACGACATGCCTGTAGTGCAGCGCAGTGCAGCGCAGCGGTAGATGCAGTGTGTACCAGCGAGAATTATGTGTGGAAGTGAGGAAGTACCGAAGCGAGCACTGAACAGCACACACACACACACACACACACACACACACACACACACACACACACACACACACACACACACACACACACACACACACACAAAAGTGCATGCACGCACGCCAGAGTCGTGAGGAGGTGATGCTGTGCTGGGGTGGGGTGATGGCTTTCCGAAGAGTGTCGGCAACAGCATCTTGGTGGTTGTCGGAAGGCGCCGGTTCTTTCTTGTCAGGTGTGCTCGAAGCTGAAGGGAGGACGTGGACACCCCATCAACAGCCTGCTGCTCTTCACGCTGCTGTGGTGGTGAGACGATTTCAACGGAATACCCGCCCGTCGCGTGCAACGTCTGCCAGCTCATCGGGTGACACCTCTGCAAGATGTTCGACAGCAACCGTCTTGTCATTGATCATGAGTGTGGTCTTGATCACCGCTGGCCCCACACACTGCTGCTGTCGCTGACGATGGCCGCATTGCCATGGGTACAAGAGCCACATGCCACGGTGGACTTTGCCTGAGGAGACGCCATGGTTGTTGTTGTTGTGGTGGTGGTGGTGGAGGTCGAGTGGCCACATGCAGCAGCAGCAGGCTCACGTTGTTCTTCTGCTCGTCCATGCACACTCAACATCACGCATGCTTGCACCTGTCCTGGCGAGGAGCACGCCGTGTTGGTGGAGAGGAGGGGCTGTGCGCATGCATGCTGGTGCCAACCAGACGGAGGGAGGAAAGGCACACTCCTGATGGTATCGGCAGCAGTGGCTGGGGAGTGTCTGGGACAGAGAGGGACCGCTGCATCACACACGTACATCAGGTGCACCTGTGTGCGTCCTTGGCTGCATGGACACTGCGTTCACAGAGGCACGAGGCAGCGTGGAGAAGGTGGGTGGTGGGAGGACGAGAGCGACACGATGTCAGATGCGACGTCAGACGCGAGAGGAGGTCAGGTGCACCAGCACAAGCTGGGGGGTGATGGAGGAGAGGAAGACGGCGCGTGAGCACGTGTCATTGGAACAATGTGTGATGTATGTGTGTACGTGTTTGCGCGTGTTTCGCAGATAAGCCTGAGCAATGCAATGCAATGCAATGTGATGTGATGCAATGCAATGACCTCACACACACGCACACTCACACGCACGCACCTTTGTGTGAGCAGTGCATTCTTCAGTCACGATGCCTGTCTCCTTGACATGTGTTCAATTCACGCCCTTCTTTTGCACTGCGTGATGAAGCCGTGGTGGGAGTACAACACAGCAAGACACCGACATCGTGTGCCGTGTGTGCTCTGTCCTTGTTGGTCCAGTGATGAGCTGATGAAGGAAGGAAGGCTGAGGGAAGGATGGATGGATGGATGGATGGATGGATGGATGGATGGATGGATAGATGGATGGATGTGTTTCAACGTGCTTCCTTTCCACAACAACACAACACACACAACAGTGAACTTGCTTGTGTGTCGCTGGAAATCCAATGCACGATTCCCAACAATCGTCCACAACCACAACCAGCCAAAACGCCACAAACAAACAACAACAACCAATCCTGTCTTCTCTTGTCTTGGTGCTGCGCCTGTCCTGCGAACAGACACCACGAACGAGGAAGGAGGAAGGAGGCACACTTAACTCCTACTTCTCTTCTCTCCTCCTTCCACTCTTCTCTCTTCTTCTTCACCCACTTGGGGTATGATGGCACCGATGAGAACGACGGGATGCCTGCAGGCACGTGGACTGATGCTGCTGCTCCCCGTGCTGCTGGTGGCGGTTGCAGTGTGCTTTATGCCGCTCATCAGCAGCGTTGTTGGAGAGGTGACGATGGCGGAGGATGATGCGGGCGCGTTTCACATCAACACAAGCGATCCAATGAGCCAACCCGTGTTTGTGAACGGGATGAATGTGCACGAGGCACTCAGCACGCTGATGAGCACTGTGTCGGCGCAGCAGAGCACGATCAATGCACAGCAGAACACCAACGCTCTGCAGCATCATCGCTTGTGTCGTCTGGTGGAGCCGAGCGCCAGCACATTTGGGCAGCTGGAGTCAGCAGGAAACAGGTGGCTTGGGGGAGTGGTGGCGAACAATGGGCTGATCTACGCTGCGCCGTTATATCCTTCCTCCGTGCTCATCATCAATCCTAACACGAACACCGTCGACACGTCCACAATCTCGGGATTCCCTGTGGGTGGTGGAAAATGGGCTGGCGCTGTGTTGGCACACAACGGCCTCATCTACATGTTCCCTTCAAACCGGGAGACGATGCTCATCATTGACCCAGACACCAACACGGTTGACACCACAAGTATCCACTCACTTGGATCCACGAGCAATAAGTGGCGCAGTGGCGTGGTCGCCTACAATGGCCTCATCTTCGGCATCCCTTACTTTGCCACGTCTGTGCTGATCATCGACCCAGAGACCAACACAGCCGACATCACCACGCTGTCCGGGCTGTCGAGTCAGGGGTATAAGTGGTACGGTGGCGTGCATCCCGACAACGGGCTCATCTACTGCATTCCCGTGAGGGCTTCCTCCGTCCTCATCATCAATCCAGAGACGTTGGCGATGGACGTCACCACCATCAGTGGCCTTGGCACAAATTTCAAGTGGTATGATGGCGTGCTTGCACACAATGGCCTCATCTACACCATCCCAGGCGAAGCTGCAACCACGCTCGTCATCAATCCATCCACTAACGCCACCGACGAGCATTTTGTGGCAGGTGCAAGTGGCACTTCAAAGTGGGTTGGCGGCGTGCTCGCACCCAACGGCAACGTCGTTGGATTCCCATTTGACTCGCCTTCCGTGCTCATCTTCGATCCAACCACAAACACCACCGACACGACCGCCGTTACTGGCCTTGTTGGATCCTTCAAGTGGTGGGACGGGGTGCTTGCTCCAAACGGCCTCATCTACGGCATTCCATTTGATGCTGAGAACATACTTGTCATTGACCCGGGGTGCTGATTGTTGCGCGCGTGTGTCTGTGTGTGTGTGTGTGTGTGCGTGCGAACACTTGTGTGCCCTTTCTGCACCTTTTTCGTTTTCGTCACCGCTGTTACTGCGTCCTGTGCACCTGATGCTGCTCATTGTGCTTTTATTTCGAATTGAAATGACCCACCCTCAACCCTCAACCGAGTGCATGCATTGCGATGGCGCGAGAAGCTGTTCCAAGACTGTGGAACGCGTAGTGTTCATGCTGGCGTAGAGGCAACACTTCCAGTATAACAAGGCAATCACACTTCTTCGAGAGTCGTCAGCCCGCAAGCCAATGCATTTCCATCCACGTGACATCAGCATGGGGTTCAACGCGTGTGCAACCGCACACACACATCCTCTCTTCCACCCACGCACTCGACTTTCATTGCCCCGTTCATACACACGTGTATTTCATTTCCGTTCACAACAATTACCACGGTTAAGCTTGTTAGCAACGCGCACTCAATCAAGAGCGAGTGTGCGGAGTGCGAGCAAGTGTCCACTCGCACAAGACACGACAAAGAAGAAAAGTTCAGATGGTTCAAGGATCAAATACACACACACACACACACCAAACGTGAGCTTGGTTTGCTCCAAGGAATATGTGAATGACAAACGGCGTTGTGCAGTCTTGCACAACAACCACCAAAGACACAGGAGAGAAGGGGGAGGGAAGAAGAACAAGCACAAAACAGGCCAACTGGCCAACACCACCCACTTCAAACAACACCTGCTACGAAACAAACCACTCCGCAACCCTCGATAACACAAGACAACCAAACTGGCGTACCAAACCAACCCAACTGTCACTAGCCTGGCTAAGTCCTTCAAGAAGGCACCAGCAGCGACCTGACTCTAGCCAAGGCTGAGACAGATAAGTTAGCTGGCATTGCCAAGAATGTTGTGGTTGTTGTTGTTAATGTTGGGGCTGTTGTTGGGGTGGGGGCTACCTCTGATTCCGTACGCCCCGTAGCCGTTATTCTCAGCAACAGCACCATCACCGGGAACATTGTTTTTGGGGTGGTGAAGGTCGTTGTGATTGATCGCCATCTTCACGTGGCGGACCATCACCGTCACCATCACCATCACCATCACCACCATCCTCATCCCCAGTCGTGAGTCGCATGCCCCTCGCTCCAGCATCTGCCACGTTCGCAGTAGGGTCATTTCCACGGTCATCGTCTCTCCCCTTCCCCGACAACTGGCGCGACTACTTCTTCTTCCGCATCCTCTGATTCGTCCCCGTCCACTTCCCCCTGCACATCAACAGCATCATCGTCAAAGGAGATGATGTACTCTGGGTAGCACATGCCGTTGTCGTAGATGACAAACATCTCCGTATCGCCGTCGAAACCGCAAACGGAATCGTACAACACGCTCCCATCAACAGCAGAAGCAGTCGTGCGTCCACCAGCACCCTCAGCACCACCCGAGGTCCCTTCACCAGCAGCAACTCGGCCACTTCCTTCTCCTTCGTCACCACCATGGCGAGCAGCAGCAACAGCAGTTGCAACGACATCATCATCAGCACCATGATCAGCAACTACATTCGACTGGGGCGTCGACACATCGACATACACGCGCCGCTCGCTGGTGGTGTCGTTCTTGTCTGCTGCGCTGCCCTCGTGGTGGCCATACTTGACAGCAAACGACAGGTCGCGGCTGAAGTACAGGCCCGAGCCAAAGTAGCCCTCCGCGCTGGCGTCGTTGATGGTCAGGCCAAGCTCGCTCTTGCAGATGACGTGCAGCAGGCGATGCACAAACACGTTGTAGTCGTCGCCAGAGAGCGGCGCAATGACGTTGGACAGGTTTGGTGGCGCGGGCCTTCAGTACTCGTGGTGCACGCTCTCCAAGTACCGCTTGAACGGCGGTGCGTTGTGCGCACGCTGCACGCGCAGGTTTCGGGGGCGAAGCGGCTCCCAGAGGGCGCGCACGCAAGCGGCTCGGCTCGTCTTCGTTGGTCACATCAACAAGCAACTGGGCCTCGCGCATGTCCCAGCTGGCATTGCCAAGAATGTTGTGGTTGTTGTTGTTAATGTTGGGGCTGTTGTTGGGGTGGGGGCTACCTCTGATTCCGTACGCCCCGTAGCCGTTATTCTCAGCAACAGCACCATCACCGGGAACATTGTTTTTGGGGTGGTGAAGGTCGTTGTGATTGATCGCCATCTTCACGTGGCGGACCATCACCGTCACCATCACCATCACCATCACCACCATCCTCATCCCCAGTCGTGAGTCGCATGCCCCTCGCTCCAGCATCTGCCACGTTCGCAGTAGGGTCATTTCCACGGTCATCGTCTCTCCCCTTCCCCGACAACTGGCGCGACTACTTCTTCTTCCGCATCCTCTGATTCGTCCCCGTCCACTTCCCCCTGCACATCAACAGCATCATCGTCAAAGGAGATGATGTACTCTGGGTAGCACATGCCGTTGTCGTAGATGACAAACATCTCCGTATCGCCGTCGAAACCGCAAACGACATCGTATAACACGCTCCCAGCAGCAGCAAAAGCAGTCATGCGTCCACCAGGACTCTCAGCACCACCCGAGGTCCCTTCACCAGCGGCAGCTCGACCGCTTCCTTCTCCTTCGTCAGCAACATGGCGAGCAGCAGCAGCAGAAACAGCAGTTGCAGCGACATCATGATCAGCAGCAGCAACAGCAATGTCACTCGGCTGGGGCGTCGATACATCGACATACGCGCGCGGGCCAGCAGCAGCAACACGCGCCGCTCGCTGGCGGTGTCGTTCTTGTCTGTTGCGCTGCCCTTGTGGTGGCCACACTTGACAGCAAACGACGGGTCGCGGCTGAAGTACAGGCCCGAGACAAAGTAGCCCTCCGCGCTGGCGTAGTTGATGGTCAGGCCAAGCTCGCTCCTGCAGATGACGTGCAGCAGACGTTGCACAAGCACGTTGCAGTCGTCGTTGTCGTTGCCAGAGAGCGGCGCAATGTCGTTGGACAGGCTTGGTGGCGCGGGCGCCAGTACACGCGGTGCACGCTCTCCAAGTACCGCTTGAACAGCGGCACGTTCTGCACACGCTGCACGCGCAGGTTTCGTGGGCGAAGCGGCTCCAACAGGGGGCGCACGCACGTGGCCCAGCTCGTCCTCGCTGGTCACGTCAACAAGCAACTGGCCCCCGCGCATGTGCCAGCCGTCAGGAAACTCAAAGAGGGCTTGTGGCTCCAGCTTCGACCGCTGCTCGTCCACCACCCGCCGCACGCGCTCACTCTCAGGCGTAGGTCGTTCACGTGCATGCCCACGTGCTCAACTCACGTACACCCAGTGGTCCTGGAAGGCCACCGTGAAGTAGCGGTCAACCAGCTTGCCGGGGGTGTTGGTCGTGTACTGGATCTTGAACTTGAAGAAGCTTGCCGACTTCCACGCCTTGCGGTTCTTGTATTCCAGCCACCACTGCAGGACATCTGGATCAACCGTCCGGCGCATGTTGCGCTCATCCTCCGCAGCCGCGGTTGCACGGGCATGGGCGACCGCGTGGGCGTCCTCTTCCTCACTCATTTTGGAGTGCTCCTTGTGCAGGTACTTGTCGGGGAAGCGCCCGCACGGCTTTGTCATCTCCTTGGGCATCTCACGCGCATGCTCCACAGCAACGCCGCCAGCAGCGACACCTTTGTGCTGACCGATGCTGCCGCTCTGGCCATCACTGCCATCATCACTCTCACCATTGCCAACATCATCATCATCACCATCACCACCACCATTGCCATCATCATCATCATCGTTGTCAGCATTACTGCGCTTGCGCTTGGCAGCGATGGCAGCCCAGTGCTTGTTGAAGGCGTTTTCAATCAGCAGCGTCGCGTCGTGCGTAAACCCGTTCCACGCCGCCTTGTTGTCCAGCTCCGCCTTGGAGGGCGGCTCCGTGTACGTTGGCCCCGTGTACAGCCACTTTGGATGGGGTCAGCTGGCGTCTCATCGGCCGGCGCATCAAGGGCGCTGCGCTGCAGGTCCTCTTCATACAGCCCGCTGCCCACCTTCTCGCCATGGTACTTCTCAAACAGCTGCTTAAACGCCGACAGCATGCTCACGTCCTTGGTGATGATGGTCACGCGGATGGTGTCGAAGAACGAACGTGCCGTCGCGGTCCACCTCGTCAATCACCTCAAACAGCGCGCGCATGCAGACGCGTATGGGGAGCAGCGGAAAGCGCCGCAGCCGAGCGCGCACGTGGCGAGCGAGCGAATGTTGTTGTCCCGCGTCGTCGTCAGCAGCGCGCGGTACGCCGTCGTCAGGTCCGCAGCCGTCTGCGTCACCGTGTTGCCAAACTCGGGTGCAAAGTTTGGCGCAACCATATGCAGCACGTGCTCAATGTTGGACGAGAGGGCCAGCGCACCGGACGTGGGCACGCGCGCCTCGTTGTACCGCAAGGGGGCCGCTCCTCTCGGCGTTCATGTCGCGGTCGTTGTTGATGCTTCCCTCGCGAATCTCCGCGTGCAGCTGCACAGCGGGCAGCGTCTCGCTGATGGTGTGGTACTGGTATGGCTCCACCTCCCACACGGCCTGCTTCACCTTGGCCGGGAACAGCCTCTTGCACGTGGTCAGCAGCACCACCTCTGACGCCGCCGCCATGGCCTTGCGCGGTCCTTCAAGCACTGCGTGGGCACTGAGGTCGACGGGCTGTCGCCCCTGCCAGAGTCGTACGTGCCCTGCGCTCGCTGTTGTGATGTCACTCCTGTGTGCGCGGTCCGCTCACTCAAGCCAACCCCATCGCCGCCGGCAGCAGAAGAAGCAGAAGAAGCAGTGGCAGCAGAAGCATTTGCAGTTGCCGAAGCAGCGCCCGTGCTTGCGGTATAACCGGCATCAGCACCAACGCCTTCTTGCGCAGCCGCTTCAGCTTGCTGTCCAGCAACCAGTTCCTTGGTCACGGACACCAGCACCCGGCACACGCAGCGCGTGGGCTGGATGTGGGCGATGGTGTGGAACGTCGACTCCGTCGTCGGGATGACCGTCTGCATTACATCGCGCCGGCCAGCCACCATCCATCCACACGTTGCGCTCAGAGGGCGTGCCAGCCAATCACGTCCTGCGGCGCAACATAGCTCACCATCCCGTCCTTGCTGCGGCATAGCGTGCGGCTGGTCTTGGTCAGGTAGTTGAACAGCTTGCGCTTCAGGAAGGTGACGTCCGACTCGGTCATCTCCAGTACGTGTGACATGTCAATGACCGGCCAAGCCGAGCACGTGGCACAGGTACTCCTTGAGCGTGTCCCACACCGCGTTGTTAAATGCCGTCAGCTGCCGCTGCATGCCCTCCACGGTCACGGGCACGCTCGAGGCGCACGCGTCCCTGTCCTCCGCGCTGGGCTTGCGCACATACACGCGGAACTTGCGAGCCAGCTCAAGCAGCTGCGAGTCCAGGAAGCGGTATTGCATGCCCGTGACGCTGATCGTCGTCTGCGACTTAATGTTGGCACCGATGGTGCTGTTGATGTAGCTGAGCCCGCGCTCCCTGTCCTGGTCCAGGTAGTAGTACAGCGAGTACTCCAGCAGCATGGCGCCCCGCCGTCCAGGTCGCACGTGTGTATAAGCGCCTGCTGGGGTGCCACGGGCGATGCGATGGACGGGGTGTCGGTGACGGGCGGCAGCCGCTCAAACTCCACACATCCCGCACGGCCCCGTGTGCCGTGCCTGCGTAGGGCAGCAGGCCAGGCGTCGGGTAGCGCCCGAGCTTGAGGCCGTAGTCGTTCAGTACGTGCTCCATGATCTTGTCGTCGCCCAGCACGCGGTCGCTGCGGGCAAACGAGTGGAAGGCGGGCGCGAGGAAGCCTGCAAGCAGCTTGGCCTGCGACCACACCGGCACGGCAGTGCTGCCCGTGAAGCAGATGCGGGTGCCCATGGTTACAGCCGCCAGCACATCAAGGGTCCTTGGCACGCTGCCGCTGTCGTATTATTCAGCTTCGCATGCAGCTGCACCGCGGGCAGCGACTCGCCGATGGCGTGGTACTGGTACAGCTCCACCTCCCACACGGCCTGCTTCACCTTGGCCGGGAACAGCCTCTCGCACGTGGTCGGCAGCAGCACCTCCGACGCCGCCGCCATCTCCTTGCGCAGTCCTTCGAGCACTGCGTGGGTACCGAGATCGACAGGCTGTCGCCCCTGCCAGAGTCATACACGCCCTGCGCTCGCTGTTGTGATCCCATTCCTGTGTGCGCGGCTTGCTCACTCAAGCCAACACCATCGTCGCCAGCAGCAGTGGCAGCAGAAGCATTTGCAGTTGCCGAAGGAGCGCCCGTGCTTGCGGTATAACTGGCATCAGCACCAACGCCTTCTTGCGCAGACGCTTCAGCTCCTTGGTCACGGACATGGGCACCTGGCACACGTGGCGCGTGGGCCGGATGTGGGCAATGGTGCGGAACGTCGACTCCATCGTTGGGATGACCGTTTGCATTAGATCTCGGCGGCCAGCCATCCACACGTTGCGCTCAGAGGGCGTGCCAATCACGTCCTGTGGCGCAACATAGCTCACCACGCTGTCCTTGCTGCGGCACAGCGTGCGGCTGGCCTTGGTCAGGTAATTGAACAGCTTGCGCTTCAGGAAGGTGACGTCCGCCTCGGACATCTCCGGCACGTGCGACGTGTCAATGACCGGCAGCCCGAGCACGTGGCACAGGTACTCCTTGAGCGTGTCCCACACCGCGTTGTTAAATGCCGTCAGCTGCCGCTGCATGCCCTCCACGGTCACGGGCACGCTCGAGGCGCACGCGTCCCTGTCCTCCGCGCTGGGCTTGCGCACATACACGCGGAACTTGCGAGCCAGCTCAAGCAGCTGCGAGTCCAGGAAGCGGTATTGCATGCCCGTGACGCTGATCGTCGTCTGCGACTTAATGTTGGCACCGATGGTGCTGTTGATGTAGCTGAGCCCGCGCTCCCTGTCCTGGTCCAGGTAGTAGTACAGCGAGTACTCCAGCAGCATGGCGCCCCGCCGTCCAGGTCGCACGTGTGTATAAGCGCCTGCTGGGGTGCCACGGGCGATGCGATGGACGGGGTGTCGGTGACGGGCGGCAGCCGCTCAAACTCCACACATCCCGCACGGCCCCGTGTGCCGTGCCTGCGTAGGGCAGCAGGCCAGGCGTCGGGTAGCGCCCGAGCTTGAGGCCGTAGTCGTTCAGTACGTGCTCCATGATCTTGTCGTCGCCCAGCACGCGGTCGCTGCGGGCAAACGAGTGGAAGGCGGGCGCGAGGAAGCCTGCAAGCAGCTTGGCCTGCGACCACACCGGCACGGCAGTGCTGCCCGTGAAGCAGATGCGGTTGCCCATGGTTACAGCCGCCAGCACATCAAGGTCCTTGGCCACGCTGCCCTTGTTGAATGCGTCGACGAGGTCCGACAGGAGGCCGCCCAGCTTGGGGTCGAGCACTGCCACGTGCACGTCGTTCGGGTAGCACAGGAGACAGAGGTGGCAAACTGCATCCTGCGCACACACGCATGCGCCGCACGCGTGTCCGTTGTCTCCAGCACAAACACGCGCTGCAGTGTGGTCTCAGAGGACGCGCCGCTGCTCTTGCTGCTTTTGCTGTCACCATCGCCGTCTTTCTAGTACTAATGAGGGTCGTGCACAGCCGTGGGCTTGGCAATAACATCATGTGCCTCACTGCCACCTCCACCATCCTGCTGCTGTGCTCCTTGTTCTTGTTCTTGTTCAGTTATGCGTGTGCTGGCAAACGGATGGATGCGGGACAGCGTGTCCTTGAGGGACTGTGGGATGGGCACAAGCTTCGCCTTGCCACCAAAGTTCATCTCAACCGCCTGCACAATGTCGCGGCCCGAGGTGGGCTTGCTGTGCAAGGTGCACGTGACGACAATGCGGTGCAGCGGTGCGTGGCGCGCCTCCAGACGACAGGCGCTCGCCGCCGTGTCAATGGGCAGTGGCAGCAAGCTTCGGAACGTCTCCTCGCTGTCGGCAACCACGTCAACGCTTGCAGAGCACAGGTCCGGGAAGACTTGCAGCGACTGGACGTTGACGCCTGCGCGCTCCAGCGTCGCCTGCACGCTGCGGTACGTGTCGGTGGGCCAGGGCATGGCGGCAGTCAGGCCTTTTGACGTCACGCTGCCTGGCTGCCTCGCTCAGGCAGAATGTGATGCACTTTGCCTGGCCGCAACAGGCGTCGGCGTGATGGATGTTGGCGAGGCAGGGGAGGAGGATGTGGAGTCCTTGCCCTTTGCTCTTTCAGTTCTTTGCCTTTGGGTCTGGGAACACGTTGAGCTTCGTGCCCAGCACCTCTCGCTGGTCGTACAGGCGGACCATCAGCTCGGCGCTTTCCCGTGACACAAACCTGTTGCAAGGGGGGGGGGGTTGGTTTGGTTGGTTGGTTGAGGACGTGGTTGAGGGAAGGACACGCGTGCTTACGCAGAATTAAGTTGCAGAATGGAGTTGCAGGAGCATCTGTGCACGTACGTATACACACAACGCACATACACGCATGCACACGCACACACACACGCACACACACACACACACACACACACACACACACACACACACACACACACACACACACACACACACACATCGCCGACCTGAATGTGCCCCTGACGCGGTTACCGTGCGGCTTGTACGTGTGTGAGTGAAAGCCGCCGTTTGCTTTGGCGAGCGAGGGCAGCACCTCTTCAATACCCTCGGACACGGGCTCAACCCACACGGACCACAGCTCGTCCGCCGTCCAAGCGGGGCAGTCCGGATCGCGGCGGGCCGTCAGCTGCACCTGCCCAATAGGGAAGTTCGTCACCTCCCTCAGGACGCGCTCGCCAACGTCACGCGTCGCGCAACTGCACATGTGTGTGTGTGTGTGTTTGAGTGAGTTGAGGGTGTATCGGTGCGGGATGAAGAGAGGAACTGCACACAAACATGATGAGTACTTGACTGCCGCATCCTCGCGCCATTACCCGCCACCACATGTCGTCATTCCCATCATGATCCTCGCATGCAACGAACACCTCCTCAACCGGTTACAATCCCCCAACATTACCGCACACCTCCAACCAGTCAGCAGCAGCTCACCTGACGCGGGCAACCTGCCCCTGATGCTCGTCCAGTGGTGTGATGCTGATGACGCCCTGCTGCTTCCCAAGGAGCGCGCGCACCAGCTCAAGCATGCCCGTGTGGTGCACAAGCACGTCAAACGGCCCAAGTGCCGCCTCATCAACCTCTCCCTCATCCTTCTCGTCGCCATGTGCCGGTGGTGGTGCTGCTGTTGTGTATGGCTCCAGTTCGCGGCTGGGTGAATGGCTCGTTCCGCTGCGCATGGTCGTGGGTGATGATGGGTTACGAGGGGTAAGAAGTGTTGAGAAGGAGAAGAATCGTGCCTTTTGGACTTTACACCGGCCACTGGTGCCCGCGTTCCAAGAGGAAACATGAGCTTCTCTAAATCCGCTCTCTCTCCCATCCTTCAATCCAACACACGCACGCAAGCGCATGTGCACCTGTATCGGGGGCAAAGTCGTTGAGCGGGTCCTTCGTGGTGATGCGCACCTGGATGCTGAATCCGCAGGTGGCAATTGCGTCCTGTTCGAACTCAATCATCTTACAGCGTCGCGCCGCCAGCAAGCATCAGCTGCGATTGCACAAGGTCAACGCCAGTCACCTGGTGGGAAGAATAAAGGAGGGAGAAGGAGAGGAAGGAGATGATGGAGGAAGTGTAAGTGAGGTGGGGGAGGAATGAAGCAGAACAGTACGCCACAAACATCAAAGTGGACAAAGCACCATCAACAGTGCTGCTTCACCGAACCACCACAGCTCACCATCTCCGCGACTTGAATGCGCAGATTCACCTCCTTGAAGTAGTGACTGCACCACATTGCGCACGTTGGATGGTTGGTGTGAGTGTTGGGGCAGGTGCGATTACGTTTGTCAACACCAAAACAGTGCATGCACGCACCACAACACCATATCTCCACCCCCAACACCCCAACACCACACTGCTACA